GGGAAACCACGTGAACTACATCTGTAGTTTGTGCCGTCGCCGCTGCAGCCTGCTCCATCTCGCGGAGTTCCTGGTCGGTATATTCTGGTTCAAACAAATATGGCTGAGCAAAAACTCATTCTCCATTTGCCTTATATCGAAATCCTCTGACATTTTTGCTTTCTCCTCTGTGCTTCCGCGTTCGTCACTCTCTCCCCGGAGCTTACGTTGCGCCTTCTGCTACGCCTACATCATACGCTCGAATGCCTTGTTGTGAACACTCTTGCTTGAGCGACCGGAAGCTGGAGATTACAGTTTATACATTTTATTTTTAAAAATCTATATTTTTCTTACACTAACGCATCGTTTCGCTTCAGAAGGCCTTTATTAACACCCCGGAGCCGTGTGGAGTAGTTTTATGATGGATGGATGCACTTTTTTTTTTTGGCTTCAAAAACAGGCGCACCATTCACTGCCATTATACAGCTTGGAAGAGCCAGGACATTTTTAAATATAACTGCGATTATGTTCGTTTGAAAGCGGAATGTCAGATACGCCTAGGATGCCCTGAGGGTGAGTAAATCATGGGCTTATTTTCATTTTTGGGTGAACTATCCCTTTAAAGGTGAACTAAGTAATTAAATGTTTTTAATTTGTTACCTATATTTTGTCCTCCTAAGCAACAAATGCATTTTGTGGTATATCAGGTTTTTTACAGTACATAACTAGTGATGTTGTAACTGTTGTAGCTGTAGGTGTTGTTACAGCTGTTATTGGTGGTACCGCAGAAAAAAAAAGAACCAAATGTTTGTCTAAAAAGTTTTAGAATTGTACAATGTAATATTTGTCATTGTAAAATGCAATTTATTTCTTAAAAAGATGACACCAACAGTCAAACACAAAACAACAAAAACTTACAAATTTCAACAGTTAAAGGTGCACATATTTTGCAACAAATATAAATAAGTTAATGATGTTTGGGCAAAGCCCAGAGTTTCAGGTAAGTCCGTCTGAAGCTTATGTTTATTAACTTAATTAAACTGCAAGATCAATGCAAAGATGTTCAAAAAGGAGGACGTATCCTAACCTGTTTTTAATTGCTACTGATCATTGGCCATTTTTTCTTAATAATCGCACTGAATGTTAATTGTTTATTTGGCTGCACATAAAAAGCACTTGCAAAGCTTCTTCATGATAAAACACATGAACTGAAATGAAAAACCATTAATGGGAAAATACGGAACTCTGAATAAATATGATCTCTTTAAGCAACAGACCTTAATCAACTTAAAACTAACATTTACATCTTTGAGCAACACCTCATATTTTGTTTTTGAATACACATATATTGGTAATGTTACTGTTGACACTGAATTAACCAAAAGAAAAAACAAACTAACAAAACAAACTATAAGCCTCTCACTCTACCTTTTCTTTGTCATGATTTGGTCCTATAAGCATTAGCTGTAACTCATTCTTTGGCATCTTTACAATAGAATACTTCATTTACAAAAAACGAAATCCAAAATCATGTGAATACACAGTAAACACAAAACTGATTACAGAATGTACCTGTACATGTGTTATTGATGCTGATGGGGAGACTTGAGTTTGTTATAGTGAATCCATCCAAACATGAGCAATTGTAACTTCCAATTTCATTTGTGCAGTTGGAATCTGGACCACATACAGATGGACTGAACGAACATTCATTTATGTCTGTAGGGAAGAACACAATATTTTTACAATAAGCAATTATTTAAAAACAGTTCAATTTCATGGAATTATAATAGTAGGCCCACACACTGATGGCGAGTCAAACATTTATGAATATCTAATATAAAATAATTGATAGTGAAAGGTTACAGTTGACAGAAGATGAAGGCAATACAAACAGTAACCTTAAGACAGTAATAGCTTCAGCTGTCAATCCTACCTTTGCATGTGTTATTGCTGTTTATAGGGAGGTTTGGGTCTGTTACATTATATCCACTCATGCACGAGCAATTGTGACTCCCAACAGTGTTGTTGCAGATTGAGTTTGGACCACAGATGTCTGATAGCTCAACACATTCATTCACATCTATAATTTTAAAAAAGTTACAGGAAAAAGAAGTGTGGGTCACTCATACAAACTGTATGTGAAGGTCACCTCAATCTTTGACATCTTTTCAACGGAACAAAAATGCTTACAAAAATGAAATAAAAATCAATTGAACAAACTGTAGCTAATTATTCAAAGTTAGAGTAAACACAAATCTAAATATAAAATGTACCTCTACATGTGTTACTGATGCTGATGGGGAGACTTGAGTTTGTTGCAGTGAATCCATCCAGACATGAGCAATTGTAACTTCCCATTTCATTTGTGCAGTTGGCATTTGGACCACATACAGATGGACTGAACAGACATTCATTTATATCTAGAGGAGGAAAATAATTTACATTTTTCAATGCACACAAATATAAATATGTAAAAACATAACATGAAAGACAAATCTCACAACATTCATCTACATCTATACAAGGACAATACAAAGTACAATATTAACATTTTTTAGCACAAAAGACAAGAACATCTACGATTTTGAAACTGTCCTCCCAAAGAAAAACAAGTCTATAAAAAAAATCTTATTTTAGGCCTAAATTTACAAGTCCAAATTGCACCAGTACCTCTACATGTGTTATTGATGCTGATGAGGAGACTTGAGTTTGTTGCAGTGAATCCATCCAGACATGAGCAATTGTAACTTCCAATTTCATTTGTGCAGTTGGAATCTGGACCACATACAGATGGACTGAACAGACATTCATCTATATCTTTGGAAAAAGTAAAATACTAAAATAAGGGATTATTAAAAAAAAAAGTTATTTAATTTCATTACAATTATAATAGCACAAGTAGCTTCCATTTTCATTGTAACAGTGAGAGTTCGGCCAACACACTGATGGTGAATCAAGACACTCATAAATATCTGAAATAAAATAATGTATAAGTTCAAAGGTTACAGTTGAAGGACAATTTAGGCAGTATAAATAGTAACAAAAAGTGATTATTAAAAAATATATAATTCATGCAATAACAATTATAACAGCAGTTCAGACAACATACAAATTCAGTCAAGAAAATTATGAATATTTGAAATAAAATAAAGTCTTTCCAAGACTTCACTTGGTAAAGTGAAAGGTTACAGTTGAAGGAAGATTCAAGCAGTACTAATAGTAACAAACGGTTCATAACTTCAGCTGTCAATCCTACCTTTGCATGGGTTATTGCTGTTTATAGGGAGGTTTGTGTCTGTTACATTATATCCACTCGTGCACGAGCAATTGTGACTCCCAACAGTGTTGTTGCAGATTGAGTTTGGACCACAGATATCTGATATCTCAACACATTCATCCACATCTATATAAAAAAAAATGTAATTTGAGCCACTTGTGACAGTATAATTGTCATCTGATCTAATGACTGGATTGCTCATTGCACTCTAAACTGCCATTTGTCTGTGAAGCCACCGGAAGTGTTCGAGCAGCCATCTTACTATTCCCGACCAGCAGAGAGCACCATTGACTGACAGACAAAACCTTGACCTAAAATCACCCCATTTGAAGTGTATGTAAATATGTGTATTTAAATTAATTGTTATTTAAGATGTTCTCTGCAATGTTTATGGTCTTTTGGGGCAGGATGAGCGATATATTGAAATGGTTTAGGTGGGTGTGTCTGATGCACATTCCTGACACAGGTAACTGATCCAACACAAAATATATTTCTTTATGTAAGTAATTATGCAGGAAATATTAGTATCTGGTATTAGCATCAGAAATTGATTAAAATAAATATTACAATACAAGCCTCTGTTAATACTGATCTAAACTGTATTGAAATTCAAAGCTCATCAGGCATCATCTTGGAAATAAAGCTCATGTCTTTAAGTCCATACCATATGTTGTCAGCATTATTTCTCTGAATGATGTTATGATGTGTCTATTTTTTTATGTCCTGACTCCTGATTGAGCAACATGTACTTCAGACTCTTCAAGATCACGCAAATTCTATGGCGTTTTACTAGCATTACAGTTTCCATAGGAGTAAAATGTTATGTATGTATGTTTAATAAATGTTTTATTTAACCAGTGGTTAAATTATTAACTGCTTCAAAATGCATCTTGATAATGAAATCCTTGTTGAAACATTTGCAGTTAGCCTACTGTACAAATAAAAACAATAAAATAACATTACATAAACAGTGAATAACTGTACAAGTTGAATTAAGATATACAAAGTCTAAATCTTAATTTAGATTTCAGAATGAGTACCTTGTCCTTTGTAATATATGTTGAGTTTTCTCTCATTAAATCTTACGATTTCCTATTAATTCAATAGAATATATGGGAATACTAGTGAAAACCATTATGGAGGTGCAGTGCCTTCACTTTTATGACATCATGAGTAATCCAGTTCCCCTTCAGGAACTTGAGCTGCGTCGGAAAACGCTATGGGAACGCCTTCAGCGTGACCACGCTCTGAATCACGTGTGTAATCAGTCCAATGGATGGGCGAGACATCACAGGCGGGGTGACGTAGCGACCAGGAAGCTTAAAAGCACGTGCGGTGGAAACGGCGTCAGCTTTTTGTCATTCAGCAAGCGCTCTGTGTGTGTGTCAGTCGCTATTTGTTTTGAGTCTTATTTAGTGTTGTTTGTCCACTTATGCTCCATTATGTCAAGCTTCAGTCAAAAAGAAGCATTTGGGCGAGAGCAGGCAGCGCTCAGGCTGTGTGTTCCTCCCTGTCCGCGCTATATTTCGGGTGGGGACACACACAGTTTGTGTGTTGTCTGCTTGGGAGCAAAGCACGCAGAGTCAGCTCTCGAGGGAGCTGACTGCCTGCATTGCAAGCGTTTGTTGCTGCGTATGCTTCGCTCTCGGAAGGTTCTCTTTGAGGAGGGAGCCTTCACCAGCGCTCCTCGCGTCGCTGGCCCCGCTTTCGTCAAGGCGGAACGGCGGCTATGCTCATGGGGTTCGCATATGGATCCGGTGGAGGGATTGGAGACGGGCGAGTCTCTATCTTCTTCCTCACCCACCAGATCCAGCGCTGCTCTCTGGGATCGGAAGCCCGCGCTGCGGTTTCTTCCCCCCGGGGAGAGGGCTCAACGCTCCGCCTGTCTTCCTCCGAGGAGGTTGATGTGGAGGGCGTCGATGAGCTCGCCAGTTGCACAAGCACCAGTTGCACAAACATATTATGTTTAATATTATAATGAGCAGCATTACTGGGGAGCGGAGCTCGCTCAGTCAGCTCTCGAGGGGGCTGATCGTGCTTTTCCCGCTGCAAAACGCTCCGCTCTTGCCTGCGATCTTGCGGTTCCGGTCCCGCTGTTGTTGAGGAATGGCGGCAATTGAGATTGCGGGGATCGCACATGATCAGGCGGATGGGCTGGAGATGGGCTCTCCCTATCTCCACCCGCATTCCCTAGATCTAGCACTCTCTCTCAGGGTCCGGAAGCCCGCGCTGCGGTTTCTTCCCCCTCTGAGTGAGAGCTCGCTCTCCTCTAGACAGAGAATCTGGGTTCTACAGCCGGTACTTCAATGCTCCAAAGAAGGATGGAAGTTCCTGAGGTTTTCTTTTGGGGGCAAAAGCTTACCGGATTCTTCTGTTCAGCCTTACAATCTCACCCCGCACTTTCACGAAGTGTGTGGATGCTGCTCTGGCTCCTCTGTGACTCCAGGGCATCCACATACTCAACCACATAGACGATTGGTTGATACTAGCTCAATCGGAGCAGATAGCGGTTCGGCATCGAAATGTCATTCTCGCTCACATGAAAGAGCTGGGGTTAAGACTTAACGCCAAGAAAAGTGTGCTTTCTCCAGTACAGATAACCCCTTATCTGGATGTGGTGTGGGATTCGACCACGATGCAGGCACGTCTGTCTCCTGCTCGGTTTGAGTCGATCCTCTATGTAGTCGCGAGAGTGAGAGAAGGCCGGTCACTCACTGTCAGCAGTTCCAGAAACTACTGGGTCTGATGGCAGCTGCGTCAAACGTGATACCTTTTGGCCTGCTGTACATGAGACCCCTACAGTGGTGGCTCAAGACCAAGAGGTTCCCCCCGAGGGGAAACCTGCTCCGCATGCTCAAGGTCACGCGGCGATGCCTACGTGCCTTAGACATGTGGAGGAAACCTTGGTTCTTGTCTCAGGGAAATGCAATAAAAATATTGGTATCGGTACTCGGTATCGGCAAGTACCAAAAATAAAAGTATCGGTATCAGGTGAGTACTGGAAAAAGTGGTATCGGTGCATCCCTAGCCATTACTATATAGTGGATTTCAGCATTACTGAACACTGTACTGACCAATAAGAAGCCAAGACTAGAACTACCCATGTAAAAAAGACAGAGTATACACAGATCTGAAAACAGAATGTACCTGTACATGTGTTATTGATGCTGATGGTGAGACTTGAGTTTGTTGCAGTGAATCCATCCAGACATGAGCAATTGTAACTTCCCATTTCATTTGTGCAGTTGGCATTTGGGCCACATACAGATGGACTGAACAAACATTCATCGATATCTACGAAAAAAAAATATTAGAAAAAATAATTACTTAAAGTTATTAAATACATCTGTACAAGGAGTATATCAATTAAGTTGAAATGTCAACATTTACAATAATAGTAATAATAAAAATAATAATCTGGATCCTGAAATGTTATATTTGTAATGAGAATCTTTAAAAATCACCAAAGTAATGATTAATGAGTAATGATTAATGACTAAATTATGCAATAACCAAAAGTTGAAAATGACTTGCAAACTGTAATGCAGAATATCTTATAAATAAAAACTGACCAGTGCATGGGTTGCCTTTACTAATAGCTTTATTTCCATCTGAGACATTATATCCACCCCAACAAAAGCATGAGAAGCTTCCGTTGTAATTGTAACAGTGAGAGTTCGGGCCACACACTGATTCTGAGTCAAGACATTCATGAATATCTGAAATAAAATTTAATTTAATCAATTGAAAGGTTACAGTTGAAGGGTGATTCACGCAGAACAAATAGTAACAAACTGTTCATTGCTTCATACCTTTGCATGGGTTATTATTGTTTATAGGGAGGTTTGGGTCTGTTACATTATATCCACTCATGCACGAGCAATTGTAACTCCCAACAGTGTTGTTGCAGATTGAGTTTGGACCACAGACATCTGATATCTCAACACATTCATTCACATCTATATTAAAAGAAAATTACAGGGAAAAGAACAGTTTGGGTCACTCATACATATGTGAAGGTCAACTCATACTTTGACATCTTTACAATAGAATGCTTCATTTACAATATTATGTCCAAAGCAGAAACACTGAAGCCTCATAATGTTGGCATTAAACACATAACTGTTATTTAGTTTAATAAAACTGATTGGACTAATGTTGCGTAAAAACATCTAGTTCTTAATTTAATGTTAAAGTACACAGAGATCTGCACATACAGTACCTTTGCATGTGTTATTGATGCTGATGGAGAGACTTGAGTTTGTTGCAGTGAATCCACCCAGACATGAGCAATTATAACTTCCAATTTCATTTGTGCAGTTGGCATTTGCACCACATACAGATGGACTGAACAGACATTCATTTATATCTATGAAAAAAAAATATTAAACTGATAATTTAAAAACTATTTTCATTAACACAATCACCTAAACACATGAAAGACATTTGTTATCTCATGGCAGTCATCTGTCTATAAAAAGGAGAATATAAATCATGAAGGAAGAAATAATGTATGTCAAAATAATTGTAGAAGAATGAAAAATAATTAAACAAGATTATATATATACATATATATATATATATATATAATGATTATTAACATTGATAAAGACATATGTAAAATTACACAACAATCTAAAGATGACACCATTTTGAGCAGTTTCCAATAAATAATACCTGAAAATCATAACAGTAAATATAACATACAGCAAACTTACCGATGCATGGATTACTTTTGGAAATATCTTTATTTACATCTGAGACATTATATCCTTCCCTACAAAAGCATGAGAAGCTTCCGTTGTAATTGTAACAGTGAGAGTTTAGTCCACACACTGATACTGAGTCAAGACATTCATGAATATCTGAAATTAAAAATTAAAAAAAAATTATAAGGGGACAGGTTACAGTTGACAAAAAATTTAGTCAGAATAAACAGTTACTGTTCAGAGCTTCAGCTGTCAATCATACCTTTGCATGTGTTATTGCTGTTTATAGGGAGGTTTGGGTCTGTTACATTATATCCACTCATGCACGAGCAATTGTGACTCCCAACAGTGTTGTTGCAGATTGAGTTTGGACCACAGATGTCTGATATCTCAACACATTCATCCACATCTATATTAAAAGGAAGTTACGGGGAAAAGAAGAGTTTGGATCACTCATACATATACGAAGGTCAACTAACTTCTTAGTTGATACAAATAAACAAAAAAACAAACAAAAAAAACAATGATAAGTCTCTCATTAGTCCTTTGTCATGATTTTGTACTATAAATACTAGCTGTCAATCCTACCTTTGCATGTGTTATTGCTGTTTATAGGAAGGTTTGGGTCTGTTACATTATATCCACTCATGCACGAGCAATTGTGACTCCCAACAGTGTTGTTGCAGATTGAGTTTGGACCACAGATGTCTGATATCTCAACACATTCATTCACATCTATATTAAAAGGACGTTATGGGGAAAAGAAGAGTTTGGATCACTCATACATATGTGAAGGTCAACTCATACTTTGAAATCTTTTAAATAGAATGCTTACAAAAATGAAATAAAAAGTAAAAATCAATTGAATAAACTGTAGCTAATTATTCAAGTTAGAGTAAACACAAATCTAAATATAAAATGTACCTCTACATGTGTTACTGATGCTGATGGGGAGATTTGAGTTTGTTGCAGTGAATCCACCCAGACATGAGCAATTGTAACTTCCAATTTCATTTGTGCAGTTGGAATCTGGACCACATACAGATGGACTGAACAGACATTCATCTACATCTATGGAAAAAGTAAAATACTAAAATAAGGGACTATTTAAAAAAAAAAGTTATTTAATTTCATTACAATTATAACAGCACAAGTAACTTCCATTTTCATTGTAATGGTGAGAGTTCGGCCAACACACTGATGGTGAATCAAGACACATAAATATTTGAAATAAAATAAATCATAACTTCAAAGGTTACAGCTGAAGGAAGATTTAGGCAGTACAAATAGTAACAACATGTTCATTGCTTCAACTGTCAATCATACCTTTGCATGTGTTATTGCTGTTTATAGGGAGGTTTGGGTTTGTTACATTATATCCACTCATGCACGAGCAATTGTGGCTCCCAACAGTGTTGTTGCAGATTGAGTTTGGACCACAGATGTCTGATATCTCAACACATTCATCCACATCTATATTAAAAGTTATGGGAAAAAGAAGAGTGTGGATCACTCATACATATGTGAAGGTCAACTAATTTTTTGACGTTTTAAAAAAAAAGAAAAAGAAAAAAGACATGGAATAAAAATCACATCAATAAATTTAGGTCAATTATTCAAGGTAGTAAACACAAAACTAAATATAAAATGTATATGTACCTGTACATGTGTTATTGATGCTGATGGGGAGACTTGAGTTTGTTGCAGTGAATCCATCCAGACATGAGCAATTATAACTTCCAATTTCATTTGTGCAGTTGGAATCTGAACCACATACAGATGGACTGAACAGACATTCATCTATATCTAGAGGGGGAAAATATTTTTTAAATGTTTTCATACATACAAATATAAATACCTAAAAACATGAAATACAAATGGTATGTCATTCATCTACATCTCTACAAAGAGAATAAGTATTGTGAAAGTACAGTATCAACATTTTTAAACACAAAAGACCAGGAAAACTATTTTTTTAAACCATTCTCCCAAAGAAAAACTGTATTTCAGGCCTAAATTCACAAGTTCAAATTGCACTAGTACCTGTACATGTGTTATTGATGCTGATGGGGAGACTTGAGTTTGTTGCAGTGAATCCATCCAGACATGAGCAATTGTAACTTCCAATTTCATTTGTGCAGTTGGAATCTGGACCACATACAGATGGGTTGAACAGACATTCATTTATATCTAGAGGGGGAAAAAATCACAAATATAAACACCTAAAACATGAAAGTGAAATGGTATTTCAAAACATACATCTACATCTATACAAGGAGAATAAATATTGAGAAATAACAACATCACCATCCCCCCCCAGACACAAGCAATTCTAACTTCCCATTTCATTCATGCAGATGGAATTTGGACCACATACAGATGGACTGAACAGACATTCTTTTATATCTATTTAAAAAAGTGATTATTAAAAACAATATTTTATGCAATAACAATTATAACAGCAGTTCAGACAACACACAAATTCAGTCAAGACACTAATGAATATTTGAAATAAAATAATTGGTAAAGTGAAAGGTTACAGTTGAAGGAAGATTCAAGCAGTACTAATAGTAACAAACTGTTCAGAGCTTCAGCTGTCAATCATACCTTTGCATGTGTTATTGCTGTTTATAGGGAGGTTTGGGTCTGTTACATTATATCCACTCATGCACGAGCAATTGTGACTCCCAACAGTGTTGTTGCAGATTGAGCTTGGACCACAAATATCCGATATCTCAACACATTCATTCACATCTATAATTTTAAAAAAGTTACAGGAAAAATAAGTTTGGGTCACTCATACATACTGTATGTAAAGGTCAACTCAATCTTTGACATCTTTTCAACAGAATGCTTACAAATATGAAATAGAAAGTAAAAATCAATTGAATAAACTGTAGCTAATTATTAAAAGTTAGAGTAAACACAAATCTAAATATAAAATGTACCTCTACATGTGTTATTGATGCTGATGGGGAGACTTGAGTTTGTTGCAGTGAATCCATCCAGACATGAGCAATTACAACTTCCAATTTCATTTGTGCAGTTGGAATCTGGACCACATACAGATGGACTGAACAGACATTCATCTACATCTATGAGGGAAAATATTATTAAAAAATATTTAAAAATAAGTTTAATTTCATTCAATTACAGTTACAAACTGAGCATGAGACACTTTAGAGTTAATTGTAACAGAGGTTGGACTACACACTGACGGTGAGTCATAAATATCTGAATAAAATAATTGGTAAAGTGAAAGGTTACAGTTGAAGAAAGATTCAGGCAGTACAAACAGTAGCAAACTGTTCAGAGCTTCAGCTGTCAATCATACCTTTGCATGTGTTATTGCTGTTTATAGGGAGGTTTGGGTCTGTTACATTATATCCACTCATGCACGAGCAATTGTGACTCCCAACAGTGTTGTTGCAGATTGAGTTTGGACCACAGATGTCTGATATCTCAACACATTCATCCACATCTATATTAAAAGTTATGGGAAAAAGAAGAGTTTGGATCACTCATACATATGTGAAGGTCAAAAATAACAACATCACCATCCCCCCCCAGACACAAGCAATTCTAACTTCCCATTTCATTCATGCAGATGGAATTTGGACCACATACAGATGGACTGAACAGACATTCATTTATATCTATTTAAAAAAGTGATTATTAAAAAAAAACATTTCATGCAATAACAATTATAACAGCAGTTCAGACAACACACAAATTCAGTCAAGACACTAATGAATATTTGAAATAAAATAATTGGTAAAGTGAAAGGTTACAGTTGAAGGAAGATTCAAGCAGTACTAATAGTAACAAACGGTTCATAACGTCAGCTGTCAATCATACCTTTGCATGTGTTATTGCTGTTTATAGGGAGGTTTGGGTCTGTTACATTATATCCACTCATGCACGAGCAATTGTGACTCCCAACAGTGTTGTTGCAGATTGAGTTTGGACCACAGATGTCTGATAGCTCAACACATTCATTCACATCTATATAAAAAAAAATTTCATTTGAGCCACTTGTGTCAGTATACGTAAGTGTCATCTGATCTAATGACTGGATTGCTCATTGCACTCTAAACTGCCATTTGGCTATGAAGCCACCGGAAGTGTTCGAGCGGCCATCTTACTATTCCCGACCAGCAGAGAGCACCATTGACTGACAGCCAAATCCTTGACCTAAAATCACCCCATTTGACGTGTATGTAAATATGTATATGTAAATGAATTGTTATTTAAGATGTTGTCTGCAATGTTTATGGTCTTTTCGGGCAGGAAAAGCGATATATTGAAATGGTTTAGGTGGGTATGTCTGCTGCACATTCCCGACTGAGGTAACTGATCCAACACAAAATATATTTCTTTATGTAAGTAATTATGCAGCAAATATTAATATCTGGTATTAGCATCAGAAATTGACTCAAATAAATATTACAATACAAGCCTCTGTTAATGCTGATCTATACTCTATTGAAATTCAAAGTTCATCAGGCATCATCTTGAAAATAAAGCTCATGTCTTTAAGTCCATACCATATGTTGTCAGCGTATGCTTCAACTGTCAATCATACCTTTGCATGTGTTATTGCTGTTTATAGGGAAGTTTGGGTCTGTTACATTATATCCACTCATGCACGAGCAATTGTGACTCCCAACAGTGTTGTTGCAGATTGAGTTTGGACCACAGATGTCTGATATCTCAACACATTCATTCACATCTATATTAAAAGGAAGTTATGGGAAAAAGAACAGTTTGGGTCACTTTTACATAAACGATAGTCAATTCAATCTTTGACATATTATATACAAAGAAAAAAACAGATAAATTCTAGCTAATTATTCAAGGTTATAATGTTAGAGTAAACACAAATATAAAACGTACCTCTACATGAGTTATTGATGCTGATGGGGAGACTTGAGTTTGTTGCAGTGAATCCATCCAGACATGAGCAATTATAACTTCCAATTTCATTTGTGCAGTTGGAATCTGGACCACATACAGATGGACTGAACAGACATTCATTTATATCTGGAGGAGAAAAAATTCACAAATATAAACACCTAAAACATGAAAGTGAAATGGTATCTCACAATATTCATCTACATCTATACAAGGAGAATAAGGATTGAGAAAAAACAATATAAAAAATGTAAACACACACACGCATGCACGCACGCACGCACACACACACACACACACACACACACACACACACACAAAAACACACACACACACACACAAAAACAAAAAAACAACAACAACAGAAAAAGCATTATTTTGAAACTGTTCGCACAAAGAAAAATGTGTCTATAAAAACGGTATTTAAGGCCTAAATTTCATGTTGAAACTGCACCAGTACCTCTACATGTGTTATTGATGCTGATGGGGAGACTTGAGTTTGTTGCAGTGAATCCATCCAGACATGAGCAATTGTAACTTCCCAACTGATTTGTGCAGTTAGAATTTCGACCACATACAGATGGACTGAACAGACATTCATTTATATCTATGGACTTAAGAATGTATAAAATCTTTTTAAAGAAAACAACTTAAAATTAAACAAGAGTTTTAGTGGATGTACATTAAAAAAAAAACTTCCATAGCTTCTCCATGATAAAAACACATGCACTGAGACAAAACAACAACAACAATAATAATAATTCATGAGGAAATGTGGGAAACTCTGAAACTTCTTGAACCTTTACTCAACAGACCAAAATACGGAAATATTTACAGGTTTGAGAAACATCTCAGATTTTGTTGTATTTCGGGAAAAAAGAAACCAACTAAAAATAAAAAAAAAAACATGACAAGCCTCTCATTAGTCCTTTGACATGATTTTGTACCATAAATACTAGTTCTCAATCCTACCTTTGCATGTGTTATTGCTGTTTATAGGGAGGTTTGGGTCTGTTACATTATATCCACTCATGCACGAGCAATTGTGGCTCCCAACAGTGTTGTTGCAGATTGAGTTTGGACCACAGATGTCTGACATCTCAACACATTCATTCACATCTATATTAAAAGGAAGTTATCGGAAAAAGAACAGTTTGGGTCACTTATACATAAACGACAGTCAATTCAATCTTTGACATCTTTACAAAAGAACGGCTTGTTTATAAAATTTATATACAAAGAAAAAAACAGAAATTCTAGCTAATTATTCAAGGTTATAAAGTTAGAGTAAACACAAATATAAATATAAATATAAAACGTACCTCTACATGTGTTATTGATGCTGATGGTGAGACTTGAGTTTGTTGCAGTGAATCCATCCAGACATGAGCAACTGTAACTTCCAATTTCATTTGTGCAGTTGGAATCTGGACCACATACAGATGGACTGAACAGACATTCATCTATATCTAGAGGGGGAAAAATCACAAATATAAACACCTAAAACATGAAAGCGAATGGTATCTCACAACATTCATTTACATCTATACAAGGAGAATAAGGATTGCGAAAGAACAACATCATTTTAGCCACTTGCGACAGTATAAGTGTCATCTGATCTAATGACTGGATTGCTCATTGCACTCTAAACTGCCATTCGGCTGTGAAGCCACCGGAAGTGTTCGAGCGGCCATCTTACTATTCCCGACTAGCAGAGAGCACCATTGACTGACAGCCAAAACATTGACCTAAAATCACCCCATTTAAAGTGTATGTAAATATGTGTAAGTAAATTAATTGTTAAGATGTTATCTGCAATGTTTATGGTCTTTTCGGGCAGGATAAGCGATATATTGAAATGGATTAGGTGGGTGTGTCTGATGCACATTCCCGACACAGGTAACTGATCCAACACAAAATATATTTCTTTATGTAAGTAATTATGCAGGAAATATTAATATCTGGTAATAGCATTAGAATTTGATTTGAATAAATATTACAATACAAGCCTCTGTTAATACTGATCTATACTGTATTGAAATTCAAAGCTCATCAGGCATCATCTTGGAAATAAAGCTCATGTCTTGAAGTCCGTACCGTATGTTGTCAGCATTATTTCTCTGAATGATGTTGTGATGTGTGTATTTTTTATATCCTGATTGAGCAACATGTAATTCAGACTCTTCAAGATCACGCAAATTATGTGTTTTACTAGCATTACAGTTTCCACAGGAGTAAAATGTTTTGTATGTATGATTAATTCATTTTTAATTTAACCAGCGGTTAAATTATTAACTGCTTCAAAATGCATCTTGATAATGAAATCTTTGTTGAAACATTTACAGTTAGCCTACTGTACAAATAAAAACAATAAAACAACATTACGTAAACAGTGAATAACTGTACAAGCTGAATTAAGATATACAAAGCCTAAATCTTAATTCAGATTTCAGAATGAGTAACTTGTCCTTTGTAACATATGTTGAGTTCCCTTTCGATACTTCACTCGTACTGCGTCTTGCTTAAGACGCATATGGGAAAAAGCCTTTTTTCTCCTGAACTGAAGCCTTTTCATTCACGCAGTGAAACTGCACGGCCATTGGTACGTGCAGTGTTTAAAAAACGAACCAATGGCTCGGCAGCGGAGTTGCACGAGCCTATAGCGACGAAGCCCGCCAAAGCCCGCCAGAATGGGCGGGGCATCTGGCTATATAAGCGGGCGCTCGCCACAGGATTCTCAGATTTCTTCTGATTTCTTCGATCCTGAAAGCCTGCTCGCCGTTGACACGCCTTCGCAGCTGGAATCGGGACCTCTCAGCACAGCTGACCTGCTTCTCAACCGCTACAGTGATGCAGCAGTTCTGGTCCGTTTCCCCTGCCGCCATCCTGCGATTCTAAAAGAGCTTATTTCTAGCAGGTAAGCCCTAAAAGAGCAAATTCTAGCGACGTTGTTGCAAATGTCGCTCTGTGAGTGTGGCTCGTGCAGGGAAACTTGCACGATGCAGAAGAGCAATGAGTATGTCATCTGTCTGGGCAGACCCCACGCAGAGACTGCTCTCTCACTCGAGCATGAGTCTCACTCTTCTCCACTCGTGGACCGCCTTCACTGGAGGCAGCCCCGCTCTCCCGTTTCTCCTCTCTCAGCGAGCCTCGGAGAGAGAAACAGCGGAGTCAGGGAACTAAGCAACCGGGTCTGAGCAATCGCATGCCGGCACTGTACCCGCGTGCTCGCTCTCCCCGTTGCACTCGGATCCGCCGCAGAAGGGCAGTGAGCTACGCGCTTACTGAGACAAAATGCTCACTCGAGCATGAGTCTCGCGGACCGCCTTCACTGAAAGCAGCCCAGCTCTCCCGTTTCTCCTCTCTCAGCGAGCCTCGGAGAGGGAAACAGCGGAGTCAGGGAATAAGCAATCGGTCTGACTGATCTCATGCCGGCGCTGTGCCTACGTGCTCTCTCTCCGTTGCACTCGGAACCGCCGCAGAAGGGCAGTGAGCTACGCGCTTACTGAGACAGAATGCTCACTCGAGCATGAGTCTCGCTCTTCTCCACGCGCGGACCGCCTTCACGGAAAGCAGCCCAACTCGCGGCCCCCCCTCCCCGCGCTCATGTTTCTCTCCTCTCAGCTACCTCGGAGGAAGCAACGACGAGCTCACAAGTTGAACGATCAGACTTGAGCAATCCTCTACACACATCATGCGTGCTTAATCTGTCAGTGTGTGTTACACATGAGGATCGGTGCACCTCGTTATACGAGCACCTTAATCCTCCCAGGCAGATCAAAGCGAAACGCGGGCAGCTTCGCATTTGTGTGTGCGTCGCTAAGTCCCGCCTCCCCCGCTCTGGTGTTTCTCTCCTCCCAGTTACTCGGAAGCAGAAATGGCAAATTCGCGGGTATGATTGATCAGGCTTGAGTGATTAAAGCCGGCAAGGCCCCCGCTTGCATCACTCTCCACGCAGCTCTTTGACAGGGCAAACTTCCTCTTCCATTACTCGTAAGTGTTCTGACAATGTCTCCTCAGGGGAGTGGACGCTCCATCCGCACGGTTCAGAGGATCTGGGAGATCTTCAGCGAGGCCGAGGTAGACCTCTTCGCCTCAGAAGACAACTCTGACTGCCCAATCTATTTCTCAAAGACCAGGGACGCGTTGTGGCCGCTCGACGGGAGCCTTCATGCCTCCCAGAGCGAGTTTTAAACACAATTTCGGAGGCTAGAGCTCCGTCTATGAGACGCCTCTACGCCTTAAAGTGGTCTTTTTTCTCCGCTTGGTGTCTAAACCGCGGCAAAGACCCCCTCACTCGGTTACGAAGCAAAGACTCTCTAGATCAGTGGTCGCCAACCCGTCCATCGTGATCGACTGGTAGATCTTTATCACTGTCCCAGTAGATCCCGAAAAAAAAAACAGTAAAATAAGTACAAAAATGCATTACATTTATGGGGTTATATTAATGTATCACTGAAGGGAACTGTCTTGAGAAAAGTTTCGATGGCAATGGCATTTTCTCCGTATAAAGCGCAGCGCTGCTTTGTTTACAGCGGTAAACGTGATATTTAGTCCCTGGAATGTGAATTTTACTGGAAGATCCCAGACGAAAAACGTGTATTTTACCCCCGGAATGCGATTTTTAAAGGTGACCCTCCTCGAAACGCGATTGGACTAGTTTTATTGCGAAAACCTGGCAACCTTGTTCATAGGCGCCACCTGCTGTCAGAGAGTGCATCTCATTCAGACCTGCTGTTTTTGTTTCGTGCAGATGTTTTATCCCGTGCAGATCGTGATTAAAATGCAGTGGTTGCCTCTAATTTCAAATGGCTAGATATTTTTGTTTAAAGCCAGTTTGTTTGTTATAAAGCAAATAGACAATAAATAAATTTCCTTAAAAATCAGTATCAGTATCAGAATTCAATTTGCTAGTAAAAAAAAAAAAAGAAAGAAAGAAAGAAAAGAAAATCGGAATCAGCTATGATCGGCGCATCACTAATTAAAATACTAAGTAAAAGGCCTCAAATTTGAAGTACAATCTGGGATGTCTTCTCATTAAATCTTACGGTTTCCTATTAATTCAATAGAATATATGGGAATACTTGGGAAAACCATCATGGAGGTGCAGTGCCTTCACTTTTATGACATCATGAGTAATCCAGTTCCCCTTCAGGAACTCGAGCTGTGTCGGAAAACGCTATGGGAACGCCTTCAGCGTGACCACGCTCTGACTGCAGTTTCTTCCCACCGGGGAGAAGGCTCGACGCTCCGCTTGTCTTCCTCCTCCGAGGTTGATGTGGAGGGCATTTCGATGAGCTCGCCAGTTGCACAAGCACCAGTTGCACAAACATATTATGTCTAATATTATAATGAGCAGCATTACTGGGGAGCGGAGCTCGCTCAGTCAGCTCTCGAGGGGGCTGATCGTGCTTTTCCCGCTGCAAAACGCTCCGCTCTTGCCTGCGATCTTGCGGTTCCGGTCCCGCTGTTGTTGAGGAATGGCGGCAATTGATACTGGGGAGCGGAGCTCGCGCAGTCAGCTCTCGAGGGAGCTGATCGTGCTTTTCCCGCTGCAAAATGCTCCGCTCTCGCCAGGCGCGCTTTGAGGAGTGTGTCCGTGCCTGTGATCTTGTGGTTCCGGTCCTGCTGTTGTTGAGGTACGGCGGCGATTGAGATTGCAGGGATCGCACATGATCTGGCGGATGTGCTGGAGACTGGCTCTCCCTATCTCCACCCGCATTCCCTAGATCTAGCGCTCTCTCTGAGAGCAGGCAGCGTTCAGGCTGTGTGTTCCTCCCTGTCCACGCTATATTTCCGAGGCGGAACGGCGGCTGCACTCGTGGGGTTCGCATATGGAACCAGTGGAGGCAGGGCCGTTTCTAGGCATAGGCGAGCTAGGCGGTCACCTAGGGCGCCACCAGCTGAAGGGGCGCCAATGAGCGCACGTACTGGCACTTTTAGCAGGGTTGTGATAAAGAGTGAGCGGAGCTCGCGCAGTCAGCTCTCGAGGGAGCTGATCGTGCTTTTCCCGCTGCAAAATGCTCCGCTCTCGCCAGGCGCGCTTTGAGGAGTGTGTCCGTGCCTGTGATCTTGTGGTTCCGGTCCTGCTGTTGTTGAGGTACGGCGGCGATTGAGATTGCAGGGATCGCACATGATCTGGCGGATGTGCTGGAGACTGGCTCTCCCTATCTCCACCCGCATTCCCTAGATCTAGCGCTCTCTCTCAGGGTCCGGAAGCCCGCGCTGCGGTTTCTTCCTCCCAATTCTTCTGTTCGGCCTTGCACTCTCACCCCGCACTTTCTCAAAGTGTGTCAATGCTGCTCTGGCTCCTCTGTGACTCCAGGGCACCAACATACTCAACCACATCGACGATTGGTTGACATTAGCTCAATCTGAGCAGATGGTGGTTCCGCATCGAGATGTTCTCGCTCACATGAAAGAGCTGGGGTTAAGACTTAACGCCAAGAAAAGTGTGCTTTCTCCAGTACAGAGAA